CAGGCAGGGGCGCTCTATCCGCAGCTGGTAGATGGCTGGCATGCGATGTGCTCGGCCTCCCTGGGCAGGCGGTGCCCCCGATCACTTCACCCCCGGAGCGCTGCTGCCGGGAGCTTGGGGAGCGTGGTCCCCATGCACACACACAGCAGGGAGCCTCAGGGTGTGGTCAGTGTTCCTCCCCTGAGCAGGGCCACACCCTGCAGAAGCCCTGAGCGAGGCTGCGTACAGTCCTGGCAGCCTCGGTGCCACTCACTGTGGGCCCCTTCTGCTCGGGTCTGCAGGGCTGGGCATAGTGGCTGGGCCATGGCACCTGGGCCGTGGCAGCTGGGTGTGGCTGATGGGCCGTGCACCTGGCTGTGGCAGCTGGGCCGTGGCTGCTGGGCCATGGCTGCTGGGCTGTGGCGGATGGGCCGTGGCTGCTGGGCCGTGACGGATGGGCTGTGCCTGCTGGGCCGTGGCGGATGGGCCGTGGCGGATGGGCCATGACTGCTGGGCTGTGGCTGCTGGGCTGTGACTGCTGGGCCGTGGCTGCTGGGCCATGGCTGCTGGGCTGTGGCTGCTGCCCGGCCGGTGTCTGCCGGTGTCCTGAGCCGCCCTCACTCTCCTCATGACAGTCGGGACATCAACTATTTTCTTTGTGTTTGTTGTTATGTGCAACTTCGTTGTTGCAGAGGTTTTACTTTTCCTGTGTGTGTGTGTGTGATTCTGTGTGTGCATGTGTCTGTGTGTACACAGGTGTGTGTGTGCGTGTGTGTGAGTGAAACTGTGAGAAGGGTTGCTGGAGCCCCGGTCCCGCAGTGGGGCTGAAATCCGGGACCTTCAGGCACCTGCCCAGCCCATCTCTAAGGTGGGACGGGCTCCCTGCGCCCTCCGCAGGTGCGAGCCCGGAAGCCTTCCACCCTTCACGTTGAGACCCCCCAAAGCCCGGGTCCCCCAGGATCCCAGTTGGCCCGTCAACCAGAGCTGAGCCCCCCACAGTGCAGTGCGGAGTGGGGAGCCCCTCCTGGCCATGGGGGCGTGGGATGGGTCCCTGAGGAGCGTGCGGGGACTGTATCAGAGCCATGGCTGCGTGCAGGCTGGGCAGGCAGAGCAGAGTGAGCGGGGCTGAGAGCACGGAGCCGCGGCCGAGCTCGGGGAGGCTCTGGGCCTGTCCCCCAAAACCCCTCCCGGGTCCCTCAGAGACCAGGGGCTCAGATGACAGCTCATCAGCCTGACATCCTGCAGATCCAGGCCACACACAAGACAGGGCCCGGGCACATGGGCCTGTCCTAACATGCATGCACATATACACGTGTGGACACTTGTGTGCACATACGTGCACACATGTATATACCTGCACACGTGCATGTGTGCGCACACGTGCACATGCACACACTCCACCCCCCAAAAATCTCATGTTTCTTAAACACATCAGGTTCAGGGTTGTCCTCCTTCCCACCTGCCACCAGCATTCACTCAGGAGCCGCTCTGACCGGGGGGTGGGGGGGAGAGGTGAGTGCTCTGGGTCCCAGGGGCCTAAACAGCCTCTGCGAAGGCGCCCACCGCTCCCCTAGGGGACGGTCCCCACGCATCCGTGAGCCGCACACACAGCCACATGGCGCTCGCTCAGCACGTGGGGGTTTCACTGACGCACCTTCCTCCTCTGGGTCCAGGACATGGTGGGTCCAGTGGAAATGAGGACAAGCGTGTGTTTCTCAAAATGTAAATGCATGCGCATCGCACCCAGAATTTCCTCCTGGAAGAGGCCCCCGATTTCCTTCCTGCGTGTGAGGGAAGTTCCTCTCCCTGACGCTGCTGTTTCCGTCTGCAGGAAGCTGCCGCTGCCGGGTCTCTGAAGAAAACGAGGGCAACCCCGAGGGGAGAAACAGGACAAAGAGAGGCCCGGGACTGGGGTGCTTATCACATGCCCTCCATCCCTTCCTTGTTCTTCCGAGGGGTCCTCCCTGAACCCAGTGCCCACGTCATGGCCGCCCGGCCGTCTGAGCCCGAGGCCAGAGGTCAGGGGACAGTCTCTGTGGACACACGCGGGTCTGGCTCCGCGGGCAGGGCCTCGCGACGCTCCAGCGAGCAGGTCCATGCCCTCATTTCCGAGATCAGAGAGAACGGCCCGTGCCTGGGTCCCCCGGCCGTCGCAGTATCCGACACCCCGAAAGCGATCCTTTTCCCTCTAGAAACAGTGCAATTCGCAGGGAGAAACCGTGCCGACCGGAGAAGAGAAGAACGCTGTGGTTGTGTTGGCTGCATTTGTACCGTGTGTGTGAGCGTCCGTGTCAATCACGGTCAATTGACACTGACCGTGTGAGTCAGTGTCAATCCACGTCGTGTCCTAAGCATCCCGGTGGTCCAGCCATGGCCACGGCCACTTCGGAGGCACAAGCTGTGCTGTGAGTCACCGTCACGTCCTACATGTCAGTCCGCGTGCCCCCTGCTGCCCTGCCATCCCCGCCCCGCCCCGCCCCGTGTAAACCTGCTGCGGTGACTGCCTCCCACAGGCTGGGCGCACGGCCGTTCCTTCAGACAGAGCCCTGCACGTGGGCGAAGGGAGGCACGCCCGCTGGGCACTTAGGATGCAGGCAGAGCGCCGCCCGGTACGGAAACCGCTGGACGCATCCCTGTGGACTGAGTCCCCTGGGCAGCGGCCCAGTGGACAATCGCCACCGACATTGCACCCTGTTAGGCCTCTGACCGGCCCCACAGGCCGGGAATGTACTCACGGGAGTTGTGTGCGTGCCACACGCAGACGCGTGCTCACAGCAGCAGCTGTGTAACCAGAGATCACCCTCATCCCTGCACGGAAGATGAGTGAGCAAATGGGTTCTGTTCACGAAATGCCGTCCCACGCAGCGACGGGGCAGGCAGCCGCGTTTCCCTGGGACATGCCCCGGGGCTGGGACAGCAACCCGCGCACCCCGGCTTTCCCCGCGATCCCCTCGTGTGGGACAGCATCGGACATGATCTCCACAGCCAGCCAGAATGAGGACAGATGCCTTAAAGCCACGGCCGCCTCACACAGCAGGTGGTTTTCCCCCCAGACCCGCCTCCTCCCAGCAGCTTCCCCTTGCAGCCCTCGGGACACGCCACCAGCCGGGCATGACTCCCAGGCCTGTTTTCAGAATTACACCCACAAAATCGGGGTGTGCCCGACCGTCCCCCAGGGCCCAGGCACCAGCGGGTGCCCAGGGTTGAGTCTGGCAGGAGCAGGTCCGGCAGAGCGCGGCTCTGTGATGGGAGAGATCCACTGTGAGCCCTCACTCAGCCCCACAAGCTGGGCACCTCCCGGCCAGTTACTCACCGTCTCTGATTCCCCAGCTGGTCGGCGCGGCGAGACACGAAGGCAGGTGCCGCGTGGACTGCATGTTCGTTACGCGCTGAGCACAGTGCCTGGCGCCTGGCGAGCATGAAGTCAGTGCCCGCTGCTGGTGCCGTCACCTCAGTGAGCCACCGGTGAGCGGCCCCCCCCCCTGCCGAGGCCCCGCCTCTGCCTTCGCACAGCCACAGCTCACGCGCACGCTTGTTGCGTCGCGGCCCTTTGCCCGCGTGGCTCACGGGCGGGTGTCGCCGTTCTGTGCGCAGGGCAGCGATGGCCGACGTTTCTAAGAAAAGACGTGTTTCACAGCTTCGTTCTCACATTTCGGATTGAGATCCAAGTCCCGTTGGTCGGCCTGGCCATGGTTCTTGTGAAAAGGCGATAATATTCACGACTAACCTAACCTTTAGTTCCGCAGCCCTTTCCCACTGATGTGGGTGGCGGCTCTGTTTTCACGGGAATCCCCGCGTGTGGGTGTCACGCTGCCAACGGCGCTGTGTGGGTTTGGGGAGACTTTGGCCAACGCGGCCGCCAGGAGGGCCCCGCGTGGAGGCAGGTCTCTGTCCTGTGCTGGCGTCACCCTGCGGGCGCGGCCCTCCTGGTGCCCGTGGCGGCTGCGTGGCGTAGGCGGCGCCTGCCCGTGTCCCCTGCCCGGCCCGACCCCTCTGTGTGTGTGGATGTGGATGCAGACGCCCGTCCGGCTCCAGTGACTCGCCCCCTAGTCGTTCGCTCTCTGGTCCGCGCTGTGCTTGCTTCCTCCCCCGGAGGGTGTGGGGGAGCCGGGAGGCCCGGTGGTAGCGCAGACCCGCAGAGCCGGGCGCGAGCGGTTGTGTGGGATCCGGTGAAACTCGGTGCACACGGTCACCGATGAGTGCGTGGCCCTCTCTCTGTGGTTCTCCGGCCGCGTGCATCTCTGCGTTAATTACACAAACGCGTAATCGTTACAGCCAGTGAGCACGCACAGGGACCGTCCCCGCCCAGGTCCCGCGTCCCTGCTCTGAATGCCATGTTCTGTGTCGAATTAGGTGGAGACCGCCACGGACTCGGACACGGAGAGCCGCGGCCTGCGCGAGTACCACTCGGTCGGCGTGCAGGTGGAGGACGAGAAGAGGTAACGCAGCCCCTCGTGGACGTGGCGTGGCCGGGACTGAGCCGCGGGTTAGGGACCTGTGGCCAGCTTCTCGGTCAGGCCGACCACCAGCCATCCATCCGTCCTGCCAGCCCGCCATCCGGGCGTGAGCCAGCGTCCGCGGGGCTGTTTCTGTGGGAGGCGGGAACAACCCTCCGGAGCCGTCTGGCATCTGCGCGAGCGAACTGGCCTACTCGCGGGGACGCGTCCTCTGTCCAAGGAGCTGCCTCCAGCAGCAGCGGACAGAGCGCCCCTCACACACCTGTTACTGTTTTTAATTCAGTTTTTTAAAGTCTGTTTTTATTGATTTCAGAGAGAGAGGAAGGGAGAGAGAGAGAGAGAGAGAGAGAGAGAGAGAGAGAGAGAGAGAGATAGGTGGAAACATCAATGATGATAGAGAATCATTGATTGGCTGCCACCTGCACGCCCCCCGCTGCCTCCTACGCCCCCCACTGGGGATTGAGTCCACAACCCGGGCATGTGATGTGCCCTGATTGGGAATCTAACCTGACCTCCTGGTTCATAGGTCGATGCTCAACCACTGGGCCACACTGGCCAGGCACTCTGGTGTAATTTTTTGTTGTTGTTAATCCTCACCTGAGGATGTTTTTCCATTGATTTTAGGGAAAGTGGGAGAGAGAAGGAAAGGCAGAGAGAAACATCGATGTGAGAGAAACACATGGATTGGTTGCCTCCCTCATGAGCCCCAACCAGGGTCCCGGCTGGGGAGGAGCCTACAACCAAGGTACATGCCCTTGACCGGAATCAAACCCGGGACCCTTTGGTCCTCAGGCTGATGCTCTAGCCACTGGACCACACTGGCTGGGCTCTGGTGTTATTTTTGAAACAAGACCAGGGTCGTCATTTTGTTTTACATTAGAATAGTATATCTTGTAAATCCTATAAAGCCATTTTAATCATCATTGCACCTTGAGCTTCAGACTGCATCTCACTGGTAAACTGCGTGCCTGTCATGCATAATAGGGTGTTTTAGAACCCAACCTATAAAGGTTTTTTTGACGGAAAAGTCATTCAGGCCACAAAGTAATGGCCTCCCAGGCTCCCAGGAGGCTTCTGGTACCTGGGCATCGTCTGCCCCAGTGGACCCGCCCGCTGCCTCCGTCCCCACCAGCAGCTACAGGTCCTCACGCCTTTGCCTTGAGCTCAGTAAGTGGCACAGTCACTCCCAGCTGCGGTCCCAGCTGTGCCGTCTGCGGTCCCAGGGGTGGGGAGCCAGCTGTGTAGCTGGGGTGCGGTGTGCAGGAGACGCACACGGCTCTCACCCACAACATCTGGGCTCCGGTTCGGAGCCTGGTCCTGCCGTCAACCCCCCCGGGCTGTGGAGCTGGTGACGCCCCCGCTGCGGTCAGACCCGCCTGCGTGACTGTGTGAGGGACTCAGAGGGCAGGAGGCTTGGCGGCCGGCGGGAGAGGACGCCTGTGCCCTGACGCCTGACGGGCGAGACCGGGCGTGGCCACAGCTCAGCAGGCCACAGGCGTCCCCACACGGGATACGCAGCTGGGGGCTGTGTGGGTTCGTGCCTACCGGGCCCAGAGGGCGGCTCCCCAGTGCAGGGCCCTCCTGGTGCCGGAAGAGACTCACATCCCTGGGCATTGTCTGGACCACGGGCGGGGAACCTTTGTCCTGTGAGGGCCACACAAAATTATCCACTTAAAGAGGAGCCTGCTCTGTCCGGTCGAACATTTAACCAGCTCACCGCTGAGGCCTCGGCAGGGCCAGACCAAAGGATCTGTGGGCCTTACACAGCCCGCGGGCCGGGCGTTCCCCACCCTGCAGAGCAGACACTGAGATGCAGGGAGGCGTCAGAGGTCCGTGTCAGCCAAGCCGGATGGTCTTGGATGGAGGAGCACCCCCCAGGGAGCACAGGCGCGGGCCAGGGTGTGTGCTCGGCCTGCCTCAGAGGCCTCCCGTCTCCCCTCCCTCCCTCCCTCCCT